TATATATATATATATATATATATATATATATATATATATATATATATATGCATACGATTTCATATATCTCCCAGAAGAATTCTTCCGATCTAAACCTATTAGTTTTCCCATCCAAATTCACTTGTGATTCGTTTTAGCGAATCAAATAAACTTTCTGCAAGTGGTCAATCTTCATATTTACACTGTTATCATAGTTTCAACAATTATGACATCCATATAATGATCTGATGTAACTTTTATTAAGTATACTTGATAATGGAGAAAATATCAAAATATTTTAATTCTTTGCTTGTCCGCATTCTCTTCTTATTCAGGGACTTGAAATTCCTAATTCTTTCTGAAATGGTCCTTGATTTAACATGCGTTTTTATTTCTTGCCATTAAGAGTAAAAATTGTTTAGAAAATAATGATTACTAACTTAGCATTTCGCTATGTGCATGAATTTTTTATTTATTTGAAAATTTTGGCAGGAAAACTTAATGCAAATTGTGATAACTAGTGGGATGCTTCATTCTAATTCTCGTCAACGCTTTGGAAGTTAAAAGCACATAAAAGAATATTGTAAATAAAACACCAATAGGTGCTCATGAAGATCAATTAGTGCTGATATATTCATTCATTTAAATTCGTCAGGATATTTCATTTTCTGGAAATAAAATAATTAGGCAAATAGCCAGTTAAGCTACTCTCTTCTAGTTCGCAATAATTTTAGAAACTTTTGAAAACCATTTCAATTGTTCAAGACGTTTAAAAACTGCAGGAAGCCAAAATATATCAAATTTGATTAACTCAACGTGATCCAAATAGAACATAAGTTAAGAAGCTCACACAATTGTATGCTTATAATTCAACTCTCGAGGGTAAGTTTAGTGAACAGTGTCCATTTTAGTTTTTAGCAAGCCCTGTACTTCAATTAAATGAAGGTCTCTAGCGCTTAGTGTTTATTATTTGGAATAATATCTTCTCTGTTATATTCAAATTAGAAAACAGTTCAAGCTTTCAATTACTTAAAATCATGTTTTATTTCAAGGATATACAACCTTATTTTGGAGAGATGTGCAAAATCAAAGTCATGGTTTCAATAAGGCAATAATTTTTAAAACATTATCAATGAATTTTTAAGTTTTATATGCTATATGTTTTTTTGCTGCAATCACACATATGTCAATCTCTTTTTTATAATTCTCAAAGAATTCGGTAAAATTTCAGAATTTAAACTCTAACAGTAAACAAATCATTATTATTGGAAAAATGTCAACCTTGTTAAATGCTTTAATTTGTATTATTATGTCCTTGAAGAATAAGCCTTGTTGGTGCTGCATCTTCGGATCACAGCTAGTATTTCCTTGTCCTGCTGTGAGAGTATATCAAAATGGCTAATATGACTGCGCGGCTTAACAAGGTACGTAAGTGAATGTTCAGTGTAAAATAAAATCTGTACGTTCGAAATGAATAAACTTTGTCCATTTTAGGAGCGAGAAAGACTTTTTACAGAGCCAGTTGAAGGGATCAGGGTAGCTGTAGATGACTCGAACATGAGATATTTCTATGCTATTATTGAAGGTCCGAAAGACAGTCCATACGAGGGTGGGTTTTTCAAACTTCAGCTCTTTCTGTCTGAACAGTATCCTCATTCACCGCCTAAGTGTCTTTTCATGACCAAAGTCTACCATCCAAATATTGACAAAATTGGTCGTATATGTTTGGATATTTTGAAAAGTTAGTTGAAAAATTATAGCATTTGCCTTGTTTTTATACTTTTGATTATGTTTAATGTTTCAGCGTTTTAAATTTCTGTTGACTTACTTAATCCTTTTTATTTACCTTTTAGCAAAATGGAGCCCCGCTCAACAAGTTAGAACTGTTTTACTATCTATTCAAGCTCTTCTGGGGTCCCCTAATCCAGACGACCCTCTTGACAATGATGTGGCAGCTGAATGGAAGACAAATGAAGCTAAAGCGGTTGAAACTGGTAAGTTTTAATACCCCTCCCCCCATCAAAATTTGTTTCTAATCCGTAAAATAAGTTCGATACTAAAATTTTATTTGCAGCTCGTGAATGGACTCGATTGTATGCTACTGAAAAGCATCTGGGCGACGTTTCTAACTTCGTATAAGTTTATTTCTCATCTAACTTCAAAATCTTGATATCATATCTTTTGATTTTAATAAATAAAGGTATTTTTGCTCGAAAGTTAATGATTTCATTTTTTGAATCCTTGCTGCGTTTGGCACTTTTTTCGATTGATCGATTTGATTGTTTATGTGAATTAGGCGAGATAATAGCTTGATTGTCTCGCGTAATCAAATTTAAAATTCAGCCTACATCTCAAAAGCACGTGTATGCAAAGCACACTCATTTTCGTTGGTCTATATTTTGTCTAGAGGTCCTATTTGTATGTACAAATGCATCATTACCAAGTAGTTGTTAGGGCTAAAATAACAGAGTACGCACAGATCTGGTGCGGAAAGGAGAGCGACAGTGGGTAGAATGAAAAAGGGGGAAGCTCTATTTCACATTTAAATGAACGCAATAATTATGCCCTTGATACGAGTGAGACCTAAATTAGTGAGGAAGTATTTGATAATAAGGTGAAAAGTACAATAAGTGTGAAAGATGAAACAAGAGGAAGTAAAAGGTTCCATAGCAAAAGGAAACGATAAACCACTCTCTACAGTTTTACAAATAGCAAATAAAAGACTTATGGAAATACCATGCGCATTAAATAGGACACTTAAATCTCTTAGACACAATCTACATCGGAGTACCTCTCTCAAATCTGGAGTTAATCTCAGATGTGTGAGCCCAGAGATCTCTCAGCAAGTCACCAATCAATAGACGCTGCATTGTTTGACAAATTCACAGCAAACGCTATTCACACCATACACTCTGTTTTCGCGATATATTGTTGAGGTAGCCATTTCATGCTATCAGGTTTTGGCATAGAGATTGCTAAGATTCAGCTAAGGCCTATTCGCGTAGTAAAACGCTACAGTTGTTAGCGGAACAGGCCTCACATATCAAAGGAATACGTTTGTCTAACTCCAAGGTCAACCACTAATTTGATTAAACAAGTAGGAAATACATACTTATGTGCGTCTAGAAAGCCCCTGCACGTTCAAATTTAACATCATCCAACTCGTGCTCTGGAGGGAGGTGTAGCGGATTGCTACCTTAGTAAAGCCTGACTGACTCAGAATCTCTATGGCAGATTCTCCAACATCAAGCTAGACTTCCAGAACCAGCTAAGCTATAGCCCAGCTATAAAGGAAACACGAACCAGCTAAGCTATAGCCCAGCTATAAAGGAAACAGACCGAAACTAGCTAAGCTATAGCCCAGCTATAAAGGAAACAGACGATAATTCGGAACACGTATATTCAGTCACGTAATGATCAGAAAAGTGTGCACGGAGCACGTTTATTCAGGACGTATCTTGCGGATCAAGTGGGAAGCAGACGTGTAGCACGGAATACGTTTATTCAGTACGTATATCAGGATCAAGTGTACACGCATGGAGCTACTCATGATCAGGACAGATAAAGTGTACACGCGGGGAGCTACTCATGAACAGGATGGGGGATTAGGTTAAGCAAACAGAGGTTAATGATTGGTCACTGTTTGTACGGTCGCTGAGGTCTAGTGATTGGCCACTGTTTGTACGGTCGCTGCACACAGAGTTGTGGTCGCTGCACACAGAGTTGTACGGCCGCACCTCCCAATCGTACGGTCGCTGCACACAGAGTTGAACGGCCGCACCTCCCAATCCTGGCGGCAGATAGCGATAACGTGTCCCACAGAGGAAATCTGGAGGCACATATATCACAATTTTGCATATTAGGAGTTATAAGAGAAGCTGCAATACTCTCCCGATACCATTGTCATCTATTAAGTGGTATAGCTATAAGATGATTAAGAGTTATACAATTATAATTTATTCGTGTCATAGTGATTGCAGTGAATATGCTCGTTGCTAAACCACTGAAATTTAACCATTCACTTCACATTCACATTGGATTTTTTCATTCGTAATTTCTATTTTTGAAAAAAAATTCGAGGCTCACTTCAGATAATTGGCACTTTCTTATGACAGCAAGATAAACAGTATGAGCGATGTACCAGGGTACTTGTTCGCAAGAAGACTATAATTTCTACCTTATTTCTAGTTATACCCTCTGACATATATGTGCCAACCAACTGAGTTTTTTTCCGTCAAAAATGAAAGTTTAAAAGGTGAATAAATAGGTAGTACCGAAGGCTCGAAGTTTCGAATTCTTCCATTTCTTAAAATTTTATTTATTTATTTATTAATTTCAAATGGCAGGCCTTTTTTGATAGGAATCATTGGCCCTTTAGCTGACTTCGGACTTCACAGAGGGGAGGAACATCAGAGAGAGAGAAAACTTCGAGAGAGGGAAAAGAAGAGTGATTCAGAGATGTAAATGAGACAGACAGGCATAAAGGCAGAGAAAAGATTAGATGAGTAATGGGGAAGTGGTCGAATATGACATACAGTGTGGGTCATGGCAGTTAGAAGTCAGAAGCCTTTTTTTGACGTATGAGCATAGGTTGCCCAGGCTGCACCACGTGAACGTAAGTCAATCGCACAACCCCCCTAAGAATTAAATGTTACTTTAAAATAAATATCGCAATAACGCCTCTGGATTATGTCATCGCTTATCAAGTAATCGCCAATCAAAAAGTCTTAGTCGTAAACACTTTTACCAAGCAGTACTACCAAAATAAACGTGCTCCAGGAGATATAGCTGAGCTGTAATTTAGTTAGCTCTGGGAATCTAGCCAGATATAGGCAATTCTGCCACAGAGCTTTCAGAGTTATTACAGACTATATTATTGCAGCAATTCGCTACACACCAAATTTTCTAGTTTGATCCTGAAAAACTGAAATTCTCAAGTTACAATCCAGAATTTCAAATATTGATTTATTGATTAGGAAGTAGAACTTACGCGTTACATTCATTATCATAAATCCAAGCATTTTGAAACATATTTAACAATATTTTTGTGAGGCTCCTCACCGTTCATGGGCAAAAATCTTAAGCATGCTTATTTATACATTATAGTAGAAAATAATTTTTAAATTATTAACACCGAAATAACTAATTTATCTATATGGCTGAATGCTGTGTTGAATTTATCTAAGGGCTCTGAGGCTCATTAACTCTGGCATTCGATTGAGTAATTCAACTGCGAGGTCTATTTTCAATACTATTGAGACATTTTGCTTTATTCTATTAAACTCATTATTTTCATCACAATTTCCATTTAAGAACTGTCACAAATCAAGGATTGCATGGCTTGAGAACACGAATTGTTATTCATACCCACGAGAAGTAAGTCAACTGAATCGATTAAACACTATATCTTATTCCTTCATGTGTTTTTTTCAATAGATTATCATGTCCTTCAATACCTTGTTACTCATTCTTCAGTATTCAGTTATTATTATATATGTTGTAGTCGCATTATAAATTAAAAAATGTACATTATCAAAATCTGAATTTATCTTATTAATATGGTGATCAGCCGATGGGCATAACCATGCCCTGACATACTGAACCTACAGTTGGTAACATAATAACATATACAAAGGAAACATTATTATAGAAACAATAAATATCTTACCTTTACATATAAGATAAAGCTTAAATTTCTTTGGACAGGCTCGAATGTTTTTCCAATATTTATCTAGTACTTATTTAAGAGGAAATTTATTTGGACCAAATTTGCTTAGGCTAATAGTTCAGCGAAAAAGCTATCAGATTTCAGTCTGACGACAGAATACAAAAGTTTGAGGAATAAAATAGCCATTCTCTCGGAAGGTACTGATTGAGCAGAAAAGAAGAATCTTAAATATAATAATTATTATAAATAGTGTAGTATGGAAATACTTGTTTATTTCAATAGATCTTCCACTAAAATACGTACTAAAATGAAAATATGTTGGATACAAAATGAAATGAGAATTCTCAACCCCAAACTGTAATGTAAAATCAGATATATCATTATTAACTATTCGTTAGTTTACAAAATGAATTGAATTAATAGTAACGATTTATTAACAACGAGCCAAACCAGCGCGGATATTCGAATCTTTGCTTGTCGCTGTTATTTTTCCTTATGAATACTTCGCTTTCTCCAAGAATTATTAAAGTATGGTTGCCAATGATTCTATTTTGTCTTAGGAAACACAAAGGTTACAAACGGAACCGATAGATGGAATACAGGTAGAAATTGATGAAACAAACGCTCGCTTTTTTCATGTAATTGTCAACGGGCCAAAAGATTGTCCATATGAAGGTGGTCGCTTTAAATTGCAACTATTCCTTCCTGAGGAATACCCAATGACGGCACCCAAATGTCTTTTTTTAACAAAAATATACCATCCAAATATAGATAACGTCGGTCGTATATGCTTAGACATTTTAAAGGGTTTGCTCGTTTTCTGTAAATCAATGTAAATTTAGAAAAATGGAGTCCTGCTTTACAGATTCGCACTGTGCTGTTGTCGATTCAGGCTCTTCTCAGTGCACCCAATCCCGATGACCCACTTGCAAATGATGTCGCTAGTCAGTGGAAGTCTGATGAAGCTCAAGCTATCAGAATAGGTAATTCATTATTTTATGCACTTTATGATCTATTTGTGTGCTCTTTTCGAGATTATTTTTTGTAAGATTCGTGTAATTACTTTGGAAGTAGAATTGTGTTAGATGAGTGCTGTAGTCGTCGTCGCTTTAAAACTGATATTTCACTAAAAATAAAACTTAACAATCAACTGCTCTTGTACTTAAAATTATGTGGGATTTCATACATCAATTGCAATTTATGGCTCCAGTTTGGAAAAATCGTTGGTCATTCGAAAACGGCATTGACTAGTATTATCTTCATTTCATTTAGTTATTGATATCAAAGATTCTATAATAGTTTTTTTGTGATTTAGCTCGAGAATGGACGCAAAGATTCGCAAGCTCAGAGCAATCCGAGAAACCATTTTGAGTTGTCCCAAATACACACTCCCTCCCCTCTGTCCTGCACTACCATCACCCCTCTGCAGACAAATCTGAAAAATCGCTTTTGCTGATGATGTTTGCAATAAGATATCTGTAATATCCACCATATTTAATCGTTGGTTCTCGTTCTTATTGTTTATTCTCTTCCAACTATGTACCTGTGTATGCACTTCATTTCATTCACTTTGAGGAAACTAATCTGGCTATACCTTTAGTCTAGTAGTTTTCGTAGCAAGCTGTAATCGTGGTTAAAACTGATGAATTATTGTCTCTTGTTTTGGTCTTAATAGCTCTGTCCTCATCCTACCGTCTGGTTCGTTTACTTTCTTGTTACGGTATATAACCGTTTTGGCCTTATGGTTAAGCCACCCGAGTTCTGGACGTCGTGTTGTAATGTAATAATTAAGATCAAATAACTCCATTGTTAGTTGATTCTGGTTGCATATTCTTATGTATTTTAACCCCAACGGGATAGAGGAAAAGGAGCCAAGCTCATTGGAAGTGGGCCAAGAATATTTACATACGGTGTACATATGTAGGATTGCAAATGTACTTGGTTAACCAGACAGCCTGAAAACACAAGGGGGTATGGTGCGTCTTGAATGAGGCGTTGAATTCCCAATCTCTTTGGAAGGGTGTGGCTAAATCGTTCGACTAAAAGTTTAGTATTTAGCCTTGGCTTTGGTCTTATTAGCATATAAGTGCAAAGAGAGTCTTAATTGATTTGAAGGTAAAAGAGTCACGATGGTGCATGGTGAGATGGTTGTTTACAGAGTTACTCTATTATTAACCATTTTGAACCGGTAAAGTTGATTGTGTACTTTACTGTCTCCCTAAATGATGTGGAACTTGTTTATGGAGGGCTTTATTGTTAAAACATATACGAACTCGTATCTTTCCCTTAAAGACTTACGTCAAGCACAATTTTGGCCTGATCGCCCTCAACTGAAAAGAGTGCCCTTGTGTAACTCCCCTTATCAAATGCGCTACGGCGTGTTCATTCCTACCCTTTTCTCAAATCTACTTATTGATCAAAATATTTACATCTTAAATTAAACTATGCAGCCTTTCATCTATTGAGTATTTATTGCTGTACGAATTTTTGGACTCAGTACTCATTATTGATGGCTGCCGATTGGTTGTCTATTTACTACAGCTAGTCAATAAGTTGGAATACCGATGGTATCAATATAGTTTGCCTACTTCCATTCCCCCCTCCCCCCCACATCATTTTTTTCTCAGCGTGTAAATTATGTGCAGAATCAAATAACTGTTTGGATGTCCAATCAAATATTTGCGTTGCACACGAGAGAGACTCACAATCGTCATCTCTCTCGTAAACATGAATATCGATCAATAGATTACGACGCTCGCGCTTCTATACGTCGCTGCAATTATTGGCCACCAGGTAGCTAATCATTCATCGCCTATTTAAGCCTCTACAAGTTCATTTATTTTGTAATTGAAAACTATCCTTGGGAGGAGGTGGGGGGGG